GACGTGGATGAAAATGTTGCACGTTGGCTTGAAATTTTATACAGCTACATCGGTGGTGGAAAGAAGAGAGGTCCGGGGATAAACGCCCGAGGGCTTCCAAGCGACCCCAGGATTATAATAATTCGCGTCACTGCGTCCAATTTCAATTTACCTCTGGCCAGGCAAAGTTGTTTCGCTAACAGGACACTCGGTATCTCGGGATCATCAGCATTTTTCCGGTGTTCTAAGTAGCGGGAGAGCCGATCGAGTTTCGCCACGAAAAGGAATACGAACTTCGAATTATCCCGCCATTCGCCGTATCTCCTTTCCTTTTATTCCTCGTCATCTCTTTAGATACTTTGAGATATCGTTACCGTTGTTGCTGAAGAGCACATCCATAAGATGTTCGAGCTTTTTCATTTCAGTAGTTTCTTTTCCATACAACAATAAATGAAGCAGGTATTTAAGTGATCTCATTTGGATGAGACTTATCCGATTCTTAAAATTTAGGTACTAGAATCAAATATCAAATATTAGAGTCTTATCGAATTATAATTAGAAGATACCTAGAGTATATGGTTTTATTCGAGTTGCAGCCTTTTGTTAGAATCTATAAAAACGTAAATTCGCATGGAGAGTCATAGTTTATTTATGACTTGTGGTCGTATCACGATTGTGTGAAAAATTCTGAGAAGAGTAATCAGCCGACTGAAGAGAAATAAATAGAGCCAGCATATAGATCGTACAGGTTTTATTCCTTCGATTATCGTTTACAGAGATACAAATTTCCATAAAATCCGCGTTCTATGAACGATTTCGTTCCATCTTTATTAAATCTCTCTCTCTCTCTCTCTCTTGTTTTCGTGGTTACTGTACGTTCTCCGATCCCAACATTTGAAAACATCTCGCGTTAGAAAAATCATAGAAATTCTACGCATAACCGACTTTCGATGTCGCGGTATATTATCACGGCAATTCGGTAGCTTTATCGTTCGATGGCAGGACAGTATCCTTGCCTTTCCGTGCCCGCCTCTACCGTGTCTCGGCCATCGAACCGTAGCACGTACGTGGGCATAAATCTGACAGTCGAAGGAATCTATGAACAAAAGTGGAGCCACTTACATGCGCGTAAAGTAAAATTTATGGAGGGTGTGGGCATATAAATGCGCGACGTATCATAAATTTCAGTGCTGGACGTGGTCGAAGCGAGACGGCGAACAATAGAATCGTGGAGAAGAAAGAGAAGAAGAGGAAGAAAAGGGGCGGCGTGGAAGAGAAGAGGAGATCTCCCTCAAGTCTCGAAGGTACTAACGATATTGTTTGAGGCATTCGCGGCTACCAGGTCCGTCCTCCTCTAATTCACAAGGGGAAACAACAATTTATTTTGACGGGGCCACGGAAATACCCGAAGGACCAGTCGCAAATCACTGGCTGCACCGTTGCTTCGCCATGGGATTTCTTCGTCTTTTTCCTGTATTCTATAGAATGCTTGTTTTATTCTCGTCTACCCGTTACTAGTCTTGGCATTGATATCGCGCTGCCTACCTATCGGTATGCCAGTTTGCTTGCGCAAAAGTTGCTCTTCGTATTTAAATATCGGTATCGATTTGATATTTCTGTTGAAGTATCTGTTGATACTGTAGAAACGGAGTATGAATGGTGTATTTATTAACGCGTTAATAAGTATACGTATCGAAGAGGAAGTAGCCCATCAGCGATAACGTCGATATCGACGTCGTGTTTTCTAAATAATTTTTTACATTCTAGCGAGTGTTCTAGACATTTTTGAAGCAAAAGCAAGAAAGAAAAAAATCATTTTGCAATTGGTCACGATAGGAATCACAGAAATACTCTGGCATATCGAACACGTTAAAATTCCTTTGCTATCCTCTATAACGTGTGAATTAATACTGGCTGATAGTCAGCGCTGTATTATTAATCGATTTAAACGATTAAACTTTGCAAGGGACTGGATATTAACCATCTATGAGCTTACTTACGCGTACTTACATATTTATGTATTTACTTGTTATCTTATTATTTATAAAGTAGCTTAAAAATCTATTCTCAAATATCGGCCATAATATCGATATCTATTCCATTGCTATAGAATCAGATCGTTTATATAGGTCGTCCGAAATGTTTCTTTCGTTTTATAAGGAAATAATAGACGCACAATGTTTTTTGTTTTATATTAGTTCATCGAATTATGCACGAACATAATAACAGAGATAGAACGAAATGGATCACACCTAATTCGATATAATAATATAAAACAGAAATTGTTGTTCATCTATGATCACCTTATGAAACGAAAGAAACTTTTCAGACAACCTAATAGAATTAGATATCGTTTGAATATTGATCTCGACATCTTTCGATACTTTCCAACTTGTAGGTAACTGTTAATCGTACCAGTATGTATCATCACTATGAATCGTATCAGACGTTCGTGTCATGTCGCTTTTCTACTTGTTCCAATGTTTTCTCTCGCTCTTGCCACAGGTAATTCCACGTATTTTTGACGAATCGAGATCGGATATTATCCCCAGCTATTAATCGACTTTTCATGCGGCTGAAATTGAAGGGACGTGGAAATGACTCTTTTAATATTTCCTTCGACGGATATTGTGTCGCCCTCGTGTCGATCTTGCTGTTTAAACTGACGAATAAACCGACAGATTAAAAAAGTCGTGATCGTCGCTCCATGCATCGTCGACGAAATTCCTCTACGGTAGGAATACTCGGTTTATCGTCGGACACGCATTATATCGTGATTTTCCGGCTAACAATAAGTAATACAGCTTTTCAATGAAAGGAAAAAGATATAGAATTTATAAATACACAGGTGATTCGCTTAAATCGAACAATAAAATTGTATTATCCGCTATTGCAGGTATCGAGGAAAACATGACCAACAATAAAATCTGGCGATGAAATTCTTTCATGGTAGAATACTTGCTTTGTTACCAGAATAGATTACGTGTAGCACGTTATGTGTTTTTAAGTAACGGTAACTACCGTACAGTATTTTTAACGAAAAAAAGAAAACGTAGGATTTATAAATATACAAGTGTCAAATAATATCACGCATAAATCCAGTCTCAAAATTATATTCGCTGCTATTGAAGGTAAAAAAAAAATAATCCACCCTGCATATTTTACTTTCTCTATTTTTGCAAATATATATTTTCTAATTTATCCGATATATATGAAATTTCCTCGTAACATTTTTGTATATACCCTTGTCGTTACTTAATCGTAAGTCTTCTAAAATATCCCTCGTTACTAACCAAATTCCCACCCTAACGTCTATTCCCTCGGTTCGATAAACCTAATCCGTTTCTCCGGTAAATTCCGGTTGGAAAAAATAAAGGAAAAAAAAAGGAGCCTGCTGGCGAAGTATGAATCAAAGCTGATTCCCGTGAAGAAATGTTTCTCACTCAGAGCTCCTTCGCCCTATATTACATCGATGGGTACCGAGCGATGATCGGTTTAGAGGAAATCGTCGGCACTTTCGTCGCCGGATCGTTTATCCTCGTAAAAAGGTGGGAACCAATCCGAAGGTAACGGACAACTGCAGGAGTGGTGGCTATCTCCCTAAGAGGAGCTGAACTTCTCCAAGTTTTTTCCTTGCTCCGCGTTTCTCGATCGTTTGGCATTATTAAAGCCACGCCCTGGATTTCCATAGATCCCAGCGTTGAACCGCGTCATCAGATAATAGGATGAGATCGTACGTTTGCTTTGCGGTCCCTTTAAATCGAATCCTCGTTGCAAAGTAGGCCGGAGAATAGTTAAGATATCGAACGATCCGCTTCAACGTTTCTCAGATTCAGCGTAAAATAAGGTTACAAGATCGTTAATGATTGAAATCGAAGGAATATTTCTTTTTAATTTGATCGAATCGTTCGATTTTACTTCTTGTGTGCCTTCTGCTTCGTATTCTCTGATCGTATCCTTCTTTATTACATTCGTTACATTACGTTTCTTATGCTCATTATCGTTTCTAGGCTACCTATGTCTTAGTTATATAAGACGTATCACAATAGCAATTTGTACGTATAAATGAATAAATAGTAAGAATTATTTTGTGAGACTATTGCACGACTTGCGGTATTACGTACGAAAGTTTTATGTTGATAACGGTTGAAACATTCCCTTTAGGAAAATTGATTTATTCGATAGATTGAAAGAAATATAGAACAATTTACAAATAAATATAATTTTATAATATGATATAATATGTAATCTATATAAGGTACATCGCATTAGACGCACTTCCTATAAAATTGTGTAAGATGGCACTGTAACTTACGTATGTACTAATTAAATATTACGTGTAAGTAATATGATTTAAAGATTACATTTATTTTAACTTCGACTATAAGACATTTTACGTTAGTATATCTAATTGTTTGATTGTATGATCTAATTGTTTAAAGTTCTCCACGCATACACCGATTCATCCTCTGCATTTCTAGTATTTTATCTGTTAACAAAAGGAAAACCAATTTTTACCCACTTTCTAAAGTATCGACCTCGAAGAAACCAATGTTTCTTACGCCCTCTGCGATTTGCTACGGCGAATATAGGAATTATGTATATCATTGACCAAGGACTGTTAAGATCACAACAGCGACGAAGACCTGCCCTTAGTCAATGATTACATAATTTTAAGTCCAGGATGTCACATTAAAATTTAGTTCCAATTCTAATCGCTACAAGCGTTGCAATCTTATCCTACGCTGAATCGGTAACGTTGGGAATGATATTAAAATGGTAAGTGTATTCTGGAATCCCTAAAACGTGTCACCACAGACGAGGTCCTTAATCAATAGCGTGACACAAAAATACATCAGATGTTAGGTCCAATCTGTCTTTCGTTGATATTTTTATTATCTTTTAATTACTGGAAACTACTTATCGACAGCGAAAAGATCCGTAATATTTGCAAAATCTCCAACAGAATGCGTAGCTGTTTAATCAGACCGGCGCATAGGAAAGACGGAAGAACATATGTTTAAGCAGTAGCGCATGCGCAGTCATTGCTTCCGCGACGTACCTAGCCATCTTTCCAGTCAAGCAAAAGTGATTGTTTTCAGCTTTAGTCTTATTTAACGGAACTTTTATTAATGTCAGAGCCACAGTCCGCGCTTCTACTACGAAAACAATTAGCAGGTATCCAGCAAAGCCAGTATAAGTGCTAAGTGTGATCGGTGCCTCAAATTCGAGTTGAACGAAAAGCCGGAACCGTTCTCATACCCCAAACTCGTGCGATCTCATCATCGTTGTGATTCGACCCTTGAGATTGGCTTTTGTGAACATTTTTTCTGTCGAAATATCACTTTCTCGAAACCTCTGTAATCTTATGTGAGCACCGATTAAGCCTTCCGTAGTCCCACGATGGCCCTGCGCCTGATTAGGGCGTGAAAATCAATACGGCTACGGAACCGTAGTGTACCTCCCATGAATAACTTTAACCTAGCATTTAATATCGCGTTTACCAGTAGTTACATCCGTGTCGGGTCTAAATTTTCTTATGAACGATTTTCATGCACGACGAAGGCCGTTTACGCTGTTACCGAAAATAATTGCAGGCAACGTTATTTATAGCATTTCGCGCGTCACCGAATACAACGCGGTTTCGACTAAAAAAAAGACAGAGAAAACCATGCCGTGCAACGACCACCGAAGGTCAATCTTCGAACCATAACTACTGTATTACTTCTAAGGCAACGAATGAAACAATGAAATTCCTGAAAATTTGCTCCTACCATTTATCGTGATTTCATTCTTCTTTGTTAATTAATCTTTATCGTTGAATTTTACATGAAATATCGTGTCACCTTTGTCTCGCTAACCCCGTGGGTATATGACGGTTGCTTTGTGCGTTTCAATTTGACCTAACCTAAACAACACTGAATAACAAAAGTATCCTTTTGATGTATCCAGACCAATGTTTCTTTGTATTGACGATTTCTTTCGATGTTTTTATTATCGATTCAAAGAATGATCAATCGTATTTATTTTTGGACAGTTCTGTGCTTGCTGATTCAAGCATATTTCCAGTGTTTTAATATTATTTTATTGTTCCGCATTTTAGATATATGAAATTCTTATTAATCCAAAATATTTTTCAAGTTCAATTTCATGAGAAAATTATTTAAAAATACAAAAACTTGATTTAAATTTTCTTCTCTTCTATAGAATTAAATAAAAACCCAGTAGAAGGGTTTTCAGCAGGCCTCATAGACGACAATGACATATATCAGTGGGAAGTACTCATTATTGGACCTCCAGACACATTATAGTAAGATACTAATTTGTTTATTTTATAATATATAATATCATACATACATATGTGCATATCATACATATTTTTACAAATATTTTTTTACATTTTAGTGAAGGTGGGTTTTTCAAAGCACACTTACAGTTTCCAAAAGAATATCCACTTAGGCCACCGAGAATGAAGTTCATAACAGAAATATGGCATCCAAACAGTAAGACTTTTTCTTTAACATTAAGATTTTTATATATATTATATAACAAAATAAAAATTGTAATGTAATTTTATATTTATAGTCGAAAAGAACGGTAATGTATGCATATCGATTTTACATGAACCTGGAGATGATAAGTGGGGCTATGAAAAAGCATCAGAACGGTGGTTACCAGTTCACACAGTTGAGACTATTCTCATAAGTGTTATTAGTATGCTTGCAGATCCTAATGATGAAAGTCCTGCTAATGTGGATGCTGCCGTAAGTAATATTCTGTATTATACAAATTTAGATTACTATATCATTTCAACTGTTTTTACTGATATTAATTGCAACACTGTAGAAAGAGTGGAGGGAAAGCTATGCAGAATTCAAGAGAAAGGTGGCGAGGTGTGTCAGAAAGAGCCAAGAGGAGTGTTTGTAGGAGATGAACAATTATTCAAATGGAAAGACTTATTTAATTCTGGTAAGTTCTATAACGTTTTTACCAATTAAATTATTCAACAAAATAATATATAATAATGAGTGTGTTTGAATAAACTTTTTTCTTATTTCCACCTAGGGAAGCCGTAAGCACTGTAAGAAAGAAACCGATGCTCAGCATTAAGCTAATGGACAACAGTGCCACTAAAAACGGATATAGCCTGACCCATTCTTAAGCAGAAAAAGGGAGGCAGAGTATGTGTGACAATAAAAGATAAAATCACACATCTCTATGAAGTTTATACCACCGCCACTGACGTACCATCCATTGATACGAAGAACATAAAGGAAATACACGCAGCTCACCTTTTACATAATAAACAACTAAAAAACTAATTTACACATATACATAATGCAAAAAAATTATCTGTACGATTATTACCTTAATATTGATAGTTATAAACTTAACTTCCCTGTTCCTCCTGCTCAAGAGTTAGCCCTACCCTTTATACCTAAAAGCCTGTAATTTAAAATGTTTACGTTTATCATTGAATAATAATTCCTTAGTGGCGTTTCGTATTTTCTTACTTTCGTAAATATACATAAATAAATTTTTGTAAAGTCAAATACATGATATATTTATATATATATGTATGTATGTATGTATGTATGTATATATATATATATATATATATGCTACAATCGTTAAACGTAATGCCAGTAAAAAATGAAAACGAAATATATGTGAATCAATTGTGACATCGCGGTAAACCTATGTCGATTAAGCTGTACAATCACGGCTATGTAAAGAAATGTAAAATTTCCGTTGAACCGTAAGTTGCCAAAATAACGAATTCTAATTAAAGTGATAATAATGCTAATCACAATATTATTATTAGAAATATACCATTAATTACAACTAGTAAATTTACCATAAAATTTCGTACATGCTTACAAAAACTATACATATTTCAACCAGTGCCAGTTTGTGAAGTTATTGTTAAGATTTACCTTTTTATTATATCTAAACTTGCGGTTCGAAGTCATAAAAACATTCAAATTTTTTATCCGACTATATATAATTTCATACTGTCAATTAAATTCTACAATATGAAAAATGTTTATTATATTCCTAGAACCTGCATTCTACTTATGACATCTAGTACGAAAAGATATTTTTATTATTTACCACTGAAGCAAATTGCTTTTTTCTATACTGTGATTAATTGTTTGCTTATGTGTAATAAATAATAATACCTTATTTTTAATAGATTACAACTTATTTGATTTCATGGATTATCTTTTTTCTTCAATTTATTATTATTTTTATATTTTGTTTCATACAGTAAAAATTTACATACGCGTTGTTATTGTACATATTAACAATACTGAATTTTTAATTACCAAAAAGTTAATACTTATTTATAAGAACTACAAAATTAAATAACAAAGTAATGTACAATAGACAATTCAGGATATTATTTTAATAAAAAAATAACTGATAGAAATTATAGATAATACATTATAATTGTTTATTTACACATTTTTTAATGTCATAAATATTAATAATATAATTATCACTTTTTAATTGTATAAAATATTATTGACATACATTAATATTTGACTTTAATATGTATTTACATGTACATAATGTTCAATGAAAAATTCATTGGATGATTAAAGTTTCTCTATGATTTTATAAATTATACGTGTACTCGCAATACATTTATAATATGTAAACACATTTATAATACGATCTACAGAATAAATAAAGCACATAAGTAAAAATTTCTGACAAAAAACTTATAATAAAGGCGTCTATAGCTCTATTAATACTAAAATATGTATATTGAATCTTAAAAATTAATTATACCTGATTATACATAAATAGACGTAGCAGATACCTAATTTATCGACATAAAAGATTCAAATTTCTATCTACAAACTTACAATGTACTTCAAATTCATTGTCGGAGCCGCAGTTTCACGTGTTTATTTATTTTGTGAGTTACGTTGTTACGTTATGGATTAATGCTGTGCAATCGCAATTTAATTTTGTTGTACTTAATTCTGTAAAGAGAGTAATGAAATATTTTCAAAATTAATGTTTGTACATTTCTGACATAAACTTAATATTGTTTTAAAACACCATTTTCTACAGAATTACGATCAAACACTAATATTATAACTGATTCTGTTTATATTTAATTTCTTCTTAATTTTATTATTTTTCATTATCTAAAACCTTGACGTAGTTTAAAAATATTTTTGGTTTGTATTGAACCAAGTAATTTATAACTATGAACGATGAACAAATTGTTTTGACATTACCTGCTACACAAAGTGTGGATGCAATATATTTGACTCCACAAGAGTCATCACAAGAGAAAACCACGACTGTATGGGGCAGATTATGTCCTATCAAATTACCTTTTAAGACAATGGGTAAGAATATATATTTATTTAATATTGTGTATTATGTGCAAGTTTATATAATTTATAATATATGATATTTATTGTGTTACCTATGTTAATTCCATTTACTTTCATAGAAATGACCAAAGATGTTTATACTCTTGGTCGAGCAGAATCCTGTGATATTTGTGTTACTAGCAATGAATTAAAACCAAAATGGCTTAGCGTAATGAGTAAGATACACTTTAAAATAACTAGAGAATATATTGGTAATGGTAATGATGCCATAGTATATTTAGAAGACTTAAGCCAAAATGGAACTTTTGTTAATAAAAAAAAAATAGGCCGTGGGAATAAGATAATACTCGAAAGTAACGATATAATATCTTTAGCACAACCTGTAGTCACTGGTAAATAAATTATATCTTATAATAAGCATATATATATTCTACATAAATCTCACATTTTATTTGCACTGTATAATACAATATTTGTTACAGTTTATATATTCATGAGTACTACAGCATGTGAAAGCAACAATCTTCCTCCAGAACTCAAAGATAAATATACAGTGTCATGTAAATTAGGATCTGGGGCATGTGGAGAAGTGAATATGGTATTTAATAAAATAGGTTGTCAAAAATTTGCTATGAAAACTATTATGAAAATAGGTGGCACAACAAATGGACAAAAGCATCCGTTAAATGATCCTGAGAAAATTATGAATGAAGTTAAAATATTAAAAGCCTTGAAACATGTAAGTGAATATATAAATTGCTAACCTGATATAGAATGTATTAATATGTACTTTATTCTTTAGCCTTGCATAATTCGAATGGTAGAAATTGTAGATACCCCAAAAGCAGTATACATAGTTTTGGAATTAATGGAAGGTGGTGAACTTTTTGAAAGAATAAGAAGCAGGGGAAGATTATCAGAGAAACATGCAAAATTGATTTTTTATCAAGTTGTATTAGCTGTTAGTTATCTACATGATTGTGGTATAACTCATAGAGATTTAAAGGTATGCGTTTTTCTTAAATATCTGTGATATTTCGGTATAATATAAATAGTGAATAAATATTCTTTGGTCACATTTACAGCCAGAAAACATATTATTAGCTAGCAATTCAGATGTTACATTAGCAAAGGTATCAGACTTTGGTTTATCAAAGTTAGTTGATGCACAAACTATGATGAAGACATTTTGTGGGACCCCTATGTATGTTGCACCTGAGATATTGTCTACTATTGGACGTGGTTCTTACACGAATCAAGTATGTATATGCAACAAATATCTAGAAGAAATAAGATGTTTCATATTTTTTAATTTAACTAGGTTGATGTATGGAGTTTGGGAGTAATATTGTATGCTTGTTTAAGTGGTTCAGTACCTTTTAATTGTTACGACAAGAATATGAGTTTGCAAGATCAAATAAAGTGTGGACGTTATGGTTTTCCTCCTTCCAAATTTGGACATGTAACAAACAAAGCTATAGATCTGGTATAGTAGTATTTGATGAAATGTTATTGCAAGATACACGAATAGAAATAATTCTATTTTCTAATAATGATTTTTCTAAATAAAAAATAATAATAATAATAATAATAATAATTTTCTAATAATCTTTTTAGATTAAGAGTATGATGACAGTAAATCCGAGAAAAAGGATTACAATCAAACAAGTTCTATTGCATCCTTGGTTACAAGATCGTGAACTTCGAGAGACTGTTGATACCTTATTATCGAAAGAAAATGACGAAAACGTAGCGCCGCATAATATTTCCAGTAACACTCAATACAAGAATGAACAACATCACAATTTAATTAAAAGAGCGAGGTTACATCTATAATTATGTTACTTCCCTCTAGTTCTAGATAATATCATTATTTAAAAAATCATTGACCTCTAATCTATTTGTTCTATTTATTATTTATCATATAAATTGACTAATTAGTCGACAAAAGTTGTCCACATTTATACATAACACGAAAGACCAACTTCAATTATTTTCATTAGGTTAATAAAGAAGAACAAATTAAAATAATTATATTTTAAATTGATTTAATTTTCAAGTACACAGTTATAATATAAATAAAATTAATTTAATAATAAAATTAAAAATATAATAGAGAAACTTTGTAACTGATATGCACCAAAACATTGTACAAATAATAGTTATAAGAAATTATTTTCATGTTTTATATTTTTTTACGCTTGTAATTATTAAAAATTTATGAAATATATTCTTTTTTACTAAAATTTCCGTACGTGTTAATATAAAAAGAAATTTAATTTTCTCATGAAATCTTATCTTGATAATTTTTCATTGAAAAACAAATAAAACCTTATATGTAATAAGAAATACCGGTTTATATACAATTACAAATCGTATCAAGAATAATGTTTCATTAATCATGTTTTCCTTTTTCCATCTATTCCTCTCTGCATTGGTACTGTCCTTCGCCGTTACATGGATTTGGAAGTGGAGTTTCCATGTCTGGCCGTTCCTTTTTTGTTAGTCCCGCTAACAATCGTTTTATTTGAGCTATTGCTTTTCCGGGATTTAGAGCCTTGAAAGAATTAGCCACATAATAATAATATATAAGTTATTAACAATATTTGAATTTCTACTCTTTATATAACGTTGTGCACTTCATACCTTCGGACAAGTTTTTGTACAATTGAAAATAGTATGACATCGATATACGGAATAAAAATCACGTAATTTACTAAGTCTTTCTTTATGTCCCATGTCACGTGAATCTATTATCCACCTATAAGCCTGCACGATAAAAATATTTCATGGTGTATTGAATATTACGTATAGGATATTCTTTTCTGTAACGAATAATTCATGTACCTGCAGAAGAGTTGCAGGACCTAAAAACTTATCACCAAGCCACCAATACGGTGGACAAGAATAAGTACAACATCCACAGAGGATGCACTCGTATAAACCATTAAGTTTATCTCTATCTTTTGGACTTTGTAGGATTTGTCGTAAACCAAGAAAATTGTCTTCTCCGGGACGTTTTAAAAATGGTTCAATATGCTGGTATTGTTTCAGGAATTGTTCCATATCCGTTACTAAGTCTCTAATTACGTATGAGTGCGGTAAAGGATATATGACTATAGGTTTTGGCGATTCCTTCACTTTTCTAAGAATAAAAAGATAGGATACTATACGGATTTAGGATAAAAAATATTATAAACTATTTACTTTACTTCGTCTGACAATGAGTGTTACAATTTTTTGAATAATTATTATGATTCAGGCAGATATGAGTAATGTATGCATATTATCATTATGAAACAACAAAAAAAGGTATTTTTCTCGCATTACGTGATGCAAGCCAAGGTATTAACACCATTTATATTCATCGAACAACTTCCGCAAATTCCCTCGCGACAGGATCTTCGATAGGATAACGTGGGGTCATGCTCTGCTTTTATTAATGCCAATACATCTAATACCATGGTGCCGCATTTATTTAAATCCACACTGAATTGTTGCATGAAAGGTTTTACGTTTGGTTTTTCAGGATTCCAACGATATACTCGAACAGTCTGCAGTCTGGGCTTTTCCGGTACCTTCCGATCCTAAATATGGATTAATGATAAGAAGAGAGAAAATTTTATAATTCAATGCGTAATAAAATTTATGAAATGAAAAAAGAAGTGCAGAGGAAATGAAAAAAGCTTTTATTAATAAATACGAATTTTTAATATAACTGTAACATTTATGGTTGCTAACTTCTGGAGGTGTTTTGCATTCTTTCATAACGGCGATTTCGGCGTTAATTATGTTTTCTGTCTCAGATGGTTGCTTTTCTGCCTTTCCTGCACTGGACAAAAATCTATGGCTTGAAAAACGACTATTTTGACGCATGCCTCGTCGAAGAGATACAATTGTACAAAACCAAAATCGGCTCGCATGGCTGATAATATTGAAGTTGAACATTGTACTTGTAGAAGTTTTATGAAAAAGCTTTTATAAGTATCACCTGAGATTATAAAGGCATATTTCGTTTTTCTAATCTTTTTATCATTTTGTTTTGTAGTGACAGTGTAATTCTTAGATAAAATAGAAACAAAATGTCATCATTTGAAAGAACTTCATAGTTGTTCTTTGACGATTTGTTCACATTAAGAGAAAAAAATTATTATGTTATACACATAATTTATATAATGCTAGATAATATAGAAATAATGAAATAAAAATAGCAGTATCATATGTTTTTGAATTAAAGTTAGATCCAATAAACACATGAATTGTATAAAAATTATAAGATTACAAGTATGCAACCACACGATTACAAATTCACGATAATTCGTGAAAACAAATGATAGTATTTCATTGACGTACAACGTTTGATATGGATATGCAACGCCAAGGTTTGTTGATTTTGCAGTACCGCAATTTATGACATAAAGTTATATTCATACATGGATGATCATTTATGCAATATTCATATGTTTTTATTTATTAAAAGTATAATTATTAAATAATAATATTATTAAAATACCTAATATCTGATCCTAAAATAATGAAAACATTATGTTTCATATTTTAAAGCAATAAATTTCATTTATTTGAACATTAATCTTTATTTATACTGTTGCTCAACATTTGTTCCGCGGCATAATATTTTAAATATCTCGAGCTATTTTAAAAGGTCAGAAGTTATCGCCTGTTACACACGAGTTATAATGGAGTAACCCCCGCAAAGAAGCAGTCTTCCTGCGAATCAAGCTACAGCAATTCGTTAAAATTTTCATAGTTATACAGATATAAGCAAGAACGATTAAACGTTTCAACTTTACTTGTTTACCACCTGTTGCTCCAAGAAACACGTTATTGCTTAAGTAGTGGGAATCACATCAAATACAATTTTGAATCACGTGTATTAAATTAGGAAGCCAATAAAGCAATAAAAAGAGCTTTACTACATTTAGGGCTTAATATTCTTAAAAAAGTGCAAAAACTTTCCGAAAGATAATAAATACGGAGGTTATAAATTTATTGTATTATGTAGATAGTTTATAATATCGAATAATATTGGTAATACTATCACGAAATGATCTTGTAATGAATTTATGAATATTTTGTTTTTATTTAATATATAGTAAATATTTATACATAATATGTATAATGTGGTATTATGTACATATGTAAATAGTATTATACAAAATTTGATAAGCTTATTTGTTTGTATATACTCTTATTATGTTACATCTTTTTACAATTCATTTATCATTAATATAAAATTTAATATTCTTTAGGCAGTATGCAGTATGCGGTTTTAGTTATTGGTAGTGGTGGTAGAGAACATGCTATTGCTTGGAAACTTTCACAATCTCCTTATGTAAGTGTCTTAAATATAATATATTATTATATAGGTAAATAAAATTAATAAAATTTCTAGGTAAATAAAATTTATGTTTCTCCCGGAAATAGTGGAATTTCATCAGTTGACAAAGTTTCTCTAGTGAAATTAAATGTTAAAGATAATAAGGTATATTTTTATTATTTTATGAATTGGACTATATAATTATACGAATGAATTAAATAAAATTATGCTAGGATTTTTTATTACGTAGGAAGTAGCAACATGGAGCAAAGATAATAAAGTAAATTTGGTAATTATTGGCCCAGAAGAATATTTGGCTAATGGATTAGCAGATGAATTAAAGAATGTAGGTATTAATTGTTTTGGTCCACAAAAAGCAGCATCTAAAATTGAAGCGAATAAATACTGGGCAAAAGAATTCATGGATAAATGTCAAATTCCTACTGCAAGATGGAAGGGATTTGTAAATGCAGAAGAAGCAAAGAAATTTGTTGAAAGGTATATTAAAAAATTATATTCATAGGTAAATTTTAAGAAAAATTATTAAATATATAATAATTTATTATAGTGCACCATTTCCAGCACTTGTAATAAAGGCTTCAGGTTTAGCAGCTGGAAAAGGAGTCATAGTAGCAAAAGATAAAGAAGAAGCTTGTAAAGCTATAGATGAAATATTAACAGACAGAAAATTTGGGTCTGCTGGTGAATCAATAGTTGTAGAAGAATTATTAGAAGGAGAAGAAGTATCTGTACTTGCATTTACAGATGGTATAAAAATAATTTTTAATCAAAATTATTGTAATTTTATTATGCAAAAACTCCTTTTTTTCTACAGGGAAAACTATTGTGCCAATGGCACCTGCACAAGATCATAAAAGAATATTTGATGGAGATACAGGACCAAATACAGGTGGTATGGGTGCTTATTGCCCATGTCCATTGTTAAACAAAGCAGATTACGAAGTAGTGAAAGCAGACATCTTACAAAAAACTGTTGACGGTCTTAGACAAGAACAAATTTCATTTGTTGGTTTGTATCAGATATTAGAGCTATATTATAATTTATAATACATTTTACAGAAACAAATTTTAAAAAATTTATTATTTTTGAAAATATAGGTGTATTATACGCTGGATTAATGTTAACAAAAGAAGGACCAAAAGTTCTAGAATTTAACTGTAGATTTGGAGATCCTGAAACACAAGTAGTGTTACCATTGTTGAAATCAGATTTATTTAGTATTATGAAGGTTATTTTTTATTTTAATATGAGAAATTATAACTATGAATTAATAAATGCATGGATTAATGAAGGAATTAGAGAATTAATTTAATATTTATTGATACAGGCCTGTTGTGAGGGTTCTTTAGTTGAATCTGAAGTTATATGGGAAGAAAATCTGTTTGCTGTTGGTGTTATTTTAGCATCTCGAGGATATCCAGTATCATCATCAAAGGGTCAAGTTATAATAGGTGTCGATGATATTTCGTGTGAAACAAATCAATTTGTTTTCCATAGTGGCACAAGTATCTCTTCTGAAGGAGAGTTATTAACCAACGGTATATTTTGTTGAACGGTATCTGGTTGTGTCAATTCGTATATAGATATATATACGAGTTCAGTAATATTTGTCTGTTTGTTTATTTATTAGGTGGAAGAGTTTTAATTACTGTAAGTTTAGCACCTTCA